GTCACATTCACTCCTTGAATCTTTTACATACTTCTGTTAAATTAAGATCTTCACATTCAACTCTCCCTCGAACAATGTAGCACATAAGTCGTCACATTCAAATCAGATAACTTCTTTAAAGTTTCAGCAATTTTGTTTTCCAAAACATTTCTTTCTTTTTCAAAAACACTTTTTTCTTTTTCAAAAACACTTCTTTCTTTTTCAAAAATATTTCTTTCATTTTCAAAGTCTCCTTTCTCATTCTCAACAGTAGTATCTAACCACTTTTTCTTCTCAGCTAACTCCTTAGCTATAACAGTATTCTTCTTTGAGCATTCTTTCTTTCTATTGCAAATGACTTTCTCTCATCATCTAAACTCTTCTGCTTAGCAGCAATGCTCTTTGAAATCTTCAAATATTTCTTCTCAGCTTCAAACTTAGCTCTTTCCAAAATAATTATCTTTTCAAATTCAAATATTTTCTTTAAAAGCTTTGTATTATTCATCTTAAGAACTTTAATCTTGCTTTCAAGAATCTTTCTTTCAGTATCAAACTTCTTTTCAGTTTCTGGAAACCTTTTTTAGCATCAGACTTCTTTTTAACATTAGAAAATTTAATCTTTTCTTTTTTTAACTCTTTTCTTTCAGACTTTAACAACTTTTCCAGTTCAACAATCCTTTTCTTTTCTTTCTAAAAAATTCTTCTAACTCAAAGTTTTCTCATCTTCATAAATCTTTGTAGTTAATTCAGAGTTATTCTTAATCAGCTCAACATTTCTTTCTTAATAATCAGATGAAAAACCTCTAGAAAGAAATTCATCTATTTGTTCCTACAAAAACTTCGTTTCTTCTCTAATAAGATCATTATCCTTTACCATATCTTTAGCCCAGCAAAGATTTGAATGTTCTCATAAAGCATTTCAGCATATTTCTCTTGTTCCTTTTTAAACTTCTTTTCTAACTCAGAAACTCTCTTTAAGTTCCTTGTTCTCTTTTTCTAACATAAAAGTCATTTCAAATACTTCAAATTGATTAAATCTCTCTTGATCTTTAAAATAGTTCAAACTTAGAGAAATTAGAAACTTAATCTAATCGGACAAACAATGCTAATTAGACATCACTTAAATCTGCCAATACAGGTTATCGGACAACAAACAAATTTGTCAACCCTTGCACAAATAGCTTATCGCCCAAGCCTTTATCGACCAACACACCTTATCGCACACTTCCCTTATCATTCATAACCCTTATCAGACAAGCCCTTATTGATTAAAAACTTTTATCGGACAAGCTTTGACCGAATTCAATCCTTATCGGACAAGGATACAAGCGATGAGCTAGGATATCGCTAAACACTTTAAGCGATAAAGAGGACTTATCGCTTAAGTCTTGATCGATTACCAAAGATACAAGATACAATGGGCGATGAATCAAAATCTCCTATAGAGATATGCGATGAGGACACTTAATCGAACAATAAGCAAAACTCAACACACGATGAGTGTTTTTATTGCTTGGTGAAGATCTTCATCATGCGATGAAGCACATTTATATTTTTTTAGAAATTGATTCAAAATTACTCGAAGATGAATAAAACTAGCACAGATTGATTAGCAATAATGCCAAAAACAAGTTGTTAATGCCAAAAACAAGTTGTTAATACCAAATTGGTCCAAATTTGATAGAATCTCAAGAACAAATTATGAACAGTCAAGAACATGAATCAACAAAAAATTCAAAATTGATGCTTGAAATAGATTCAATTATGAAAATGAATGATTCTAATCAATTCCAAATGGAAATTCGCACACAATACAATAAATCATACATCAAAATTCAAACAGATTAAGAGTTTTTGATATGAAACAGTGAGTATAAGGATGTCGATCAAGAATGTCCAAATTTTGATTCAATTTAATCCAACTCAAATCAATTTGATTCTCCAAGTTGTTGTAATCTGCTCTGATACCAATTGATAATCCCAATAAAGATTAATCAAATTTCAATTCATGATTCAAGAACACTTTAGCAATTAATAGAAAATGTAGAGAAAGTAGAATTGTAGAGAGAGTAGAATTGTAGAGAGAATAGAATCGTGGAGAGAGAATTCTTTCAAAGCTCAAATTGTATTAGATTGCTTCAAAGGTTATAAATGATCAAAGCTACTTACAAATTACAAGAAAGAAACTATTTATACTAGAACAAATTACAAGAGAATAGAAAGCTTGAATACAACCTTTTAGCACATAGCATTGAACTCAACATTTTCCCTTATAACACTATTAATACACCAACTAATTATGTTAGGAAGTCTAGTATAATTTCAAGATTTCCTCCGAGATTTGATGACTATGTTGTAGAAGGAAAAGTCAAATTTGGTTTGGAGAAGGTTGTTAATTATTCTTTCCTTATTAACGAAAACTTTTACTTTGTTTGGAATCTTAATAAATCTGTTGAACCAACAAATTATTTTTATGCTAGTAAAGACTCTAATTGGGCAACTACTATGAATAATGAGGCTTTATGTAGAAATGGTACCTGGGTTGTTATCGATCTTTCTCCAAGAAGAAATCCTATAGGGTGTAAGTAGATTTACAAAATCAAATATAAATATACCGACGAGATAGAATGATATAAGGCTAGATTAGTTGTCAAAGGTTATAGTCAGAGAAAAGGGTTATACTATAAAGAAATGTTTTCTCCGGTAGTTAAAATGGTTATTGTTTGGTGTGTCATTGCTTTGTCTGTTCAAAATAATTGGAAGTTGTGTCAACTTGATGTAAACAATGCATTCTTGTATGGAAGTTTTGATGAAGAAGTTTATATGAGTCTAACTCAAGGTTATTTTTCTCCTGATGATAAACGGGTTTGTAAACATGTTAAGTCGTTATATTGCCTAAAACAAGCTCCTAGACAATGGTATGCTAGACTCTCTGGTTGTTTGTTTGAGTTCCATGTATTTAGAGTAGTAGTGATTATTCTTTTTTTACTCTTTCTGTTGATTATATATTCTTGGTTTTATTAGTTTATGTTGATGATATAGTAATTACTGAAAATAATATTGATGATATTAACAAAGTTAAAGATTATCTGAAAACCAATTTCATGATAAAAGATTTAGGAAATCTTCAATTTTGTTAGGAATTGAATTTTAAAAGGAGGTAATGGTTTGTGTATGTCACAAAGGAAATATTGTTTAGAGTTATTAAATGATTTTAGTTATCTTGGTGTTAAACCCATTAGTACACCAATGGATATGAATCTTGTTGTGACAAATTCTGTAGGTTTGGCGTATTCAGATCTTTTTTGCGATATCAATGATTATTTGATTGTTTTATATATCTTCTTCCTACTAGACCTGACATTGCGTTTGTTGTTCACTATTTAAGTCAAGTTCATGCACTCTCCTCGTTGTTCGTATCTTAAGCTTGCTCTTAGAGTTCTGAGGTATCTAAAATTATCACATGCTAAGGGTATATGTTTTTCTAAATCTGTTGATTTTAAGCTGAATGCTTTTGTTGATGGTAATTGGGGTAAGTGTCTTTCTACTAGATGTTCTGTTACTGGATATTGTTTAATTTTGGGAGATTGTCTAATCTATTGGAGAAGCAAGAAACAAAATATTGTTTCTAGGTCTTCTGTTGAATCTGAATATAGAGTCATGGCTTCAGCTACTTGTGAAGTCATCTGGGTTCTTAATATTTTGAATGATTTACATTTAACAGATTTACCTCTGTAAATTTGTTCCAGTGATGATAAATCATCAATTCAGATTGCTAATAATCCGTTTTTTTCATGAAAGAACAAAGCATTCAAAAATTGATATACATTAAGTAAGAGAAAAATTGCAATTGGTTTATTAAAAACTGTTAAAATAATATTTTATGAGCAACTCATAAATATTTTTACAAAATCTGTTGGTGTAAATCAACATACTTATTTGTGCTCTATGTTGAACATGTTTGATATGTTCAAATCTCAAGATTGAGGGAGGGTGTTAAAAGTCTCTTTTAACATTCATCCAATCTTGACCTTTCTAAATTCATAACATCGGTTTCTATTTTTTATGGTTGATTTTACAGTATTCATAAACTGAAGGGGCTGTTTAGACTTATGAACATAGATGAGGGGTTGTGCCTCATGTTTGGAATTACTTGGGGGGTCTGCAACAAGGTGAAGGTGATCGGAGACTTTGACGCCTTCGCTTGAAGTCTAAATAGCTTTACCCAGGATGAATAGGTCACCTTCGATTAAATAGCTTTACCCAGGATGAATAGGTCATCTTCGATTCGTCAAGCGTACGAATTTTATTGTGGATGTTTGTTATAGGATACGCGGGATGCAGACTCGGTGCTTTGACATTATTGTTCTCAGGTGTCTGGCCATCAGTCACCATGATCAAGAGACAGAAGGAACAACAAGAACAAGAAGGACCGGCAACGGCTGGAGAGTGGATCGATTAAAGTTTTTAGAAAAATACCATAAAAGTGGTATCGAATGTTTTTCGTATCTCTTATTCAACCAAAAGGATCCCGTTATATAGGGATATGTGTTCAACCAAAAGGATCCCATTATATAGGGATATGTATACAAAATACGAGGCTATCTATAATTAAGCCAATGATCACCTAAAAATATGGACATAATATATACATGGTAATAGCCTCGACGTTTTGGCACACTATAACACCGCCATAACACGTTACGTTCTTTAGAACATTAGTGACAGTAACCAACAACCAGAGGTAACGTAGAACGAAATGAATTGAAATAAGAATGAACAAACAAATGGGTAAAAAACACAATTAAGAAAAAGCAAGCAACTACTTCAATAAATGAACGGAGAATCTTTATTCACTAAAATAGAAACTGAAATCACAAATAGTGATTTAAATTCTTAAAGTTAATTTGTGTACTTGATCCAAATGGTAACAACTTTGCATGATTATGGGTACACAAAACTGCACGTGACACAATTAATGGCAGATTTTTTTAAGGTACTCTTTTGGGTAAGATCGTAGGTAATTTTAAGAAAGAATAATAATTAGGATAAAATCGAAACCAAAGCTGTTTTTACACCCCTACATAACACCAAAATACAACTATTCAAACCAAAACAAAAATAACAAATTCCAACCAAACCAAGAGCAAAAGGATCTCATATCAGACCCCATATGTAACAACCAAACCACATCACACAAAACCTACTTACCAGATCACCATCACCATCGGGTTTTTGTTTCTGTTTCCATTTTATTAACTTATTGTATGGTTTCGATGCTCTTACTCAGCTCGTCCAGTTTCTTCATCCTCGTCTTCTCGCTCTCGCCCACCAGCTGCTTAACCAACAACCAAAAATACAGTCAGTAATCGTTTCTTTCAAAAACTAACCATTTATGATCATGAAAACGGGCACGGGAATGTGGTGGAATATCCCATCCGCCCAGAGTTCGATTCCAGGTATACATAACAAGTTTATATCAGGTTGATTTATTGCAGTCACAATTTGCCGGAATTGGTCCAGGCAGAGGCTGGGACACCTTCCTGGAGAAAATATAACACCAACCTCCATCAATCTTGTAATTAATTGCACTTTATCCTTGTTCTTTTCATTGAAAGCATCCAATGCTTCCTTATACTCTCTTTCCTGCCAAAAATCAAAAAGAATTCGGTCAAATACTCGTATCTCATCATACCAACTGCCATATTCAATCTTAACACTTGTTAAGGGATCAGTTTGTTTTTCAATCTTGGAAGGCCAATGTGTGTTAAGACAAGATACCTTCTTCTGGCAGGTCTGTCCCAATGGCTTCAACTCTTTGTTGACGGAATCAATCTTCTTACGAACAACTGAAACTTCTTTTTTCATGGGATCTGTTAGAGCTTCAAGTTCCTGATGATGGATTGCCATAAGTTAGTTTCAGAAAACCTCATGTGATGGCTTGTATAAATTGTAATACTAATTGAACAATTATGTACACTTAACACCACCAACTTCACACCAATCCCCATATTACCTAACACACTAGCTCTTTTTTCATCTTGAAGGCAAATCATCATCATGAAAATTGATCTAGATTCATTCAGACATTTGTGTGCTGGAAAGGTAGAATGGGTTGTGGTGGGGGTAGTTAATTTTCTTTTTGTAACTGTGTATCTGGCACCACATGGAGAGCTGATAGCACCTAGCTGGACTGAAACCATAAAAATGTGTTTTGAAAGGCACCAGATTCAAGTGAATTACCACTTGGGTTGGATTCAGAATGGCTGAATGGTATAAAAGATTGAACTTTTATGGAGATGGAGACACATATCACCTGGCTTTCATAAACAAGCCATATAACTTGCTAAAGACTTCTGGGTGGTTTCTAGTCTAAAAGAAGACATCAATTTTGACTTTTTGCATCAATTGTCAAAAAGGACATCATTTTGAACTTCAAATTCAAATGGAATGCACTGAAAACATCTATATCAAGAATCAAAAGTGGATTATTTTGGGGGATAGAGTTGGTACAATTTAGGGGGAAAAGTGGGATAAAGTTGGAGACATCGGATCTTGGGATGAAATTTTAAATCATATAAAGGAATAAATTTTCCAAGACCATTTACAATTTGAGTGGCTGATTGCAATCCAAATAGCATTCATTTTATCAATGCATATCATATAACTACAAGCAGAATTGACATAGATCTATCACAAATTTTAAACACTTCTGTTGATGTCCAGACACAATCAACCTGAACAACTACAAACCCAATTTCCCCCAAAAGAAACAATGTTATTTCAAGTTTTTACAGAAAAAGGGAGCAGAGAACAGATCTTATCATGAGAGGTGCATAAGAAACCCTAAATTTACATCTCAAAACCAACCCTTTAGATTTACAGTAAGCGACGACAGATCGAAATGACAATTTTGTTCAAGATGAAAACAAAATCAGAAAGAAAAAATTCTATGATTTCTCAAAAGAAGCCCTAATTGTTTTGCTTTGAAAAAAGAAGCGAATTTAGAAAGAAAAATAAAAGCATAGCATTTTACTTTAATTTCTTGATAACACACTGAAGAAACATTAGAACAAAGTTATGCCTTAAGAAAGGGAAGAAACCCTAATTTGGGTTTTGTAAAAAAATGAACTCTAAACACTTACGAAATCGAGCAAATCATATGCAACCCACAACCCCAAATTAAAAACCCAGAAAACCCCATATGAGAAATTCAGCGAACAAGAAGGTCGAAGGAAAAAAAACAGTCAAACCTCTTGAATAGAAGCCAAACGTCTGGTTTCTTCTTCAATACGACCCAACTGAGCTTGAACTCTTTCTTTAACCTCTAATTTTTTCTTCTCGATCTCTTCCTCTTTCGCCTTAAAAGTAGAAAGAGCAGATTTAGACATCTCTTCATCTTCTTTAGACATTAACCCACTGAAACTTAAACTCCCTGAAATTTGACCAGCCTGCATCAGTGTTTGAAGCTGCTCACTCGATTGCTTCTCTGTCTGAGTAGCCATTACTTTTTCTGGTTCTTTCTCGGTCTTTTTCTTCAACCAGAAAAAGCAAAAAACCCTCCTTCTTCCTCTAATCCCTCTCTTAATTTCTCTAATTTTTTCTGTTTTTGCTTTTCCCCCCTCTATGTTTTCGATTTATTGGTTCTTCTCTTCTTGATGGGTTAAGAAGGCAGGACTTGATGCTTAAAGTTACGAGCTGAGTTGCCCCACAAACCAAAGAGAGAGAGAGAGAGAAAAGGAACGGAAGAGGTCTTGCTAGCCTGTATTGCGTGTGTATGCATGTATGGGGATGTATGTATATGTTTACCAAGTGGAATGACCAAATTGCCCATGGATCTCCAACGGAAACATTTCGATATGAATATCCATGGAAAATTTAAAGTCGACCCCCACCACAAATTCCATGGCTTTAATATTATTACTTATTTGGTGTCTAGAGAGATAAGACACGACGAAATAAGATATTTGTTTAGTGGTGGATAAAATAGAGTAAAGTGTGGTGTACCAAATACTTATTTGAGTAAATGATTATCAAGTCCTGTTATTTTATTGGATAAATATAGTAAGAATCAAAAATCTTATATGGTAAAAGCGAGACAAAAACCATGAATCTTACCCGGTAAGTGAGGGCGACGCCTCTTACCACGGTAAGCGCTTACCGGATAAATTGTTGCATAAGATGTCGTTTTGGTGGACTAAAATCTTACCCGATATGTAAATAATAGTGTTAAATTTTACCAATAAACACTTACCGGGTAAGTGTTTGGTAAACGACCCGTAAGTAAAATAACTAATTTATCTTAATAAGTGTTTATATATTTTTTATTAATTTATATGATATATTAAATTATCTATATTATATTATAAAACATTTGACAAAAACTTTTAAAAACCATTTTTATGTATGAAGTACTGTTTATTGATTCATATAACTTAAAATTCAAGATTACAAGTAATTTTACGTAAGTACAATTTATTAAAGTTTCATTCTTAAATTTGTGTGACTAACTGTTGATAAAAATAATCAAATACAGGATAAACATTAATTTTAAATATAAAAAATCTAAAATACAATTAAGATAATTATTGAGTTTTAACAGAATGTTTAATTATTATCTTCATAAAAAATTATATTATTAGATAAAAAATAAATTACTTTATTATTAAATCTAAATTAAATTATAACAAAAAATGAGTTAAAGAAGTTATAAAAAAAAAAAACAAGAATTTAATAGTTAATTTGATACTAATATCGATCTATTTACTTTTCAAAATTTTATGTTATATTTAAATTTATATTTCATTCAAAAGTAAAAATATTACCGTTTTCTCAAAACCATATAAAATCGTATTATATCGATAGAGACAAAGAATAAGAACTAAACATTAAAATCGAGATTTATCTCCTTACATTATGCGAGTACCTTTCTAATAATAAAATAATTATTTTTATAATAAAATATATCATTAGAAAAGATTTCATCAAAACAATTAAAATGACATCAAAATAAAAAATTTGTGTAATTTTCAACTTTTGTATCCGTTTTCTATATTATTTTTTATTATTAATATACAATAAATTACGTAAATTAGTAAAAATATAGAAATCATATAAAAAAATTATTTTGAGTATAGTAAAATAAAAGTTTAAAAACATAAAATACAATAAATAAAATTTAAAGAATCAATAAAATATAAAAATTATACCTATTTGATTTTTTAGAAGAGAACTAAGTTTTATTTTGAGGTTATATTGATAAAATATAAGTATATTCCACCATGTTCTATCTTGTTCCACCTAGTTCCATGAGGTAAGGGTGGAACAGGCATGCTTTACTTTGTTCCACCTTGTTCTTGTTTGTTCTACATAAAGTTCTTGACAAACATGGAACAGAGATCTTTGTTCTGTTATGTCATGTTCTGTCTAGTGTATCAAACACACCATGTTGGTATCAGCCGGATCTACAAGAGTTTATAGGTAATTAGTTTGTAGAAGGGGGGGATGAATATAAACACAAAAACTTTCACTTTAAAAAATTATATATTGATAAAGAAGACAAATACAAATTTACAGATTGTTTGTGGAAGAGATAAGGTAAAGAACCTATCTAAACAATCCAAGATACACACAATTACAAATAGCAAAGAGAAAAGATTTGCTACAAGAAATAAAGAAGAATAAAATTGATTTTCACTTGTTAAAGTGGGTCTTTCTCTTTTAGACAGAGAGTAGTGAGAGAAGTAACTTTATGGGTAAGTTCTTACTGAGGAAGTTGATATCTGAGAGGGAAACCACTTAGCTATTTATATCCATTACATTAAATGCAATTCAGAGGCTATAGAACACGTGTCAAGCTTTTGGAGGAAAGTTTGTCCTTTGTTCAGATTTGGCAGGCTTTTAGCCATATGTGAACAGTCCTCTTTCATAAAGTTGGTAAGTACATTAGAGTCAACGGAGTGGCTCCATACTGTACTATACTTTAGAAATGTACGGGTTTGTCCTTTGTGTGTGGGAGGACAAGACAAAAACAATCTTGCTCGACAAGCTTCATTTGATCATTGAACACTAGGATGATGCTGAAAGGTCTCTTCATTGTTCCTTGAAACTTGCGCAATCTTCACACATAGGTAAACAAGCTTGTTATCACTGAATACCGCTTCAGATCATGCTTTTGTCTTCAACATTGCTGAAGGATACATAGTGTGAGTTTTGTCTTCTTGAAGCATAACAGTCTCTAAATAATTTACAATATACGTTCAACGATCACTGAACAGACTCAGTGAAGATCGCTGAAACTGAATAACATAAATACTATACTTCGATAGATAAAAGGGGTCATCATCGAATCAATAAGAGAGAGGATCAACAATCTCCCCCTATTTGATGACGACAAAGCAACATAAAGAAAATTACTTAAGTTATAATAGTAAGAAAAATGTACAAATAAAATACATATCATTTTTAACTATTTTGGGACTTTTTTAACTAGTTTGTGAAGGATTACAAGTTCAAGGAAAACAAACATAAATATGATAATTGAAACTAAAAACATATTCACTAACTGAAAGTTGTCAGTGAATGAAAGAGAATTGGAACTCCTAGATACTTGTCCCTATTACTCTTTTCAGCGATCTTTTTCAGTCACTGAAGATTTCATTGTATATTCATCACTGGAAAATAATACAAGTCATTTATCAATACATGGTAGATCTATTACATACAGATTATACATTGAAAAAAAAGAAAGGAAAACAAGAAATTAGAAGATAGAAAGATCTCTATTCTAAGTCACTAAAGTCGATATACCTCGATACATCTTCTCCAAGCTTCTTTCGTCATAGTATCTCCTTTTATGATCATGTGATTCATCACCTCACTAGCTAGGTCATTGTCCAACCAAGACTTGAGATACTTCAGATGGTTTATTGGACAGAGGTAGAACTCAGATACTCGTTGGAAGTTGTATTCACCATCATAGTCAATGAAAATTAGTCCATACTCAGGCTTCACATGCACAATATTGGGTATGTAAGGACCCTTCGCTGGCAGTGTCAGGTTCAACTTTGAGGTATTTGGCTTCTTTTGATCCTTTAGGATTTCTTTCAAAGAAAACTTTGTTTCATGTTCATTCTTATGGGAAGGTCCATCTTCAGGATCTGAAAGGTTTCTTCTTCTTGAGGGCGACTTCTCAGGCATAGGAGGGACAATAACAAACTTGGACACCTTCTTGAAGAGCTCGTTCAGGATGTCTTCGATTATTTGCTTGTGCTTGTACTTTGAGCACTGAATGGCTTGTCATATCTCCAGCCATTCATATGACATTCTACTAGGACAGGTCGGAAGTCCTACCAATGCTAACGAAATTCCAACATTAAGCGTAGGCATAACAATTTTCTCAACTATTCTTACAACTGGAAATCTAAGTGATCTAGGTGTTACTTTACCAGACTTCGTGTCAAGAGAGTTTCTAAATGCCCTAAAGGCTGTTCAAGATTCACTAATGGAGGAGATAAATGGGTTGAAGTGTTTACTAAAGAAAAAGCAACTGAGATTCACTAATACAGATTTTACAAGATTGTTTGCGGAAAGATAAGGTAAAGAAAACCTATCTAAACAACCTTTGGTTACACACAGATCTTTAGCAAATACAAGAAAAGATAATGCTAGAAAATAAAGATCTTTTACTTAAGCAAGGAGAGGCTTGAAGTAAAAATAGGTTAGCAGAGAGATGCGCGCGTACATTCTCTCATGCATGGAGAAGAAAACACTTCTATTTATACCCAGTGCATTAAATGAACATTTAATGCAATAAGGTAGGGTATAGAGTGCGTGTCAAGCCTTAAGAGGAAGGCTTGTCCTTTGCTACAGTGAATAGTACAAAAGCACTATTCTTGAGCAAACATCCTTGCCTAAAGTTGGTGAATAAAGAGTCGACTAATCGGCTCCGTACAGTACTAACTTTAGTAAGGGTATGGGTTTGTCCTTTGTGTGCAAAAGGACAAGACAACAACAATC